ATTCTGCCATTAGGGCCGTTTTGATACGTGAAGAGGGACTGTTGCAATCGCCTATCTATTATGTCAGCAAAGCCTTGCATGATGCCGAATTACGTTATCCCCCGATGGAAAAAATAACATTTGCGCTGGTCTTTGCTGCACAGAAATTACGACCTTATTTTCAAGAACATTCCATAACTGTCCGCACTTCGTATCCACTTCTACAAATCCTGCACCGACCTGATACCTCGGGACGCATGGTCAAATGGGCCATTGAGCTCGGACAATTCGACATCCATTATCAACCGAGGACCGCGATCAAGGCTCAAGCCTTATCTGACTTCATCGCCGAGTTCACTCCGGCCATAACAGTTCATCGTGATAATCAACCATGGGCCCTCTATATTGATGGATCCTCAACAGCCAACCGAGCAGGTGTAGGGATAGTTTTAGCTGACCCGGAAAACCGGTTATTCTGTCACTCGGTAAAGTTTCTCTTCCCGGCAACCAACAATGAAGCCGAATACGAAGCCTTGCTATCCGGATTGAATTTGGCGGAATCCATGAACGTGAGGCACCTTAAAGTCTTCTCGGACTCTCAACTCCTTGTGAACCAAATCAATGGTTCATATAAAGTCAAAGAACCTCGGTTGACACCTTATCTCTCTTTGGCCAAACGGAAATTATCAAAATTTTCCGCCGACCTCGAACATATCCCCCGAACTCTTAATGTTCGAGCAGATGCCTTATCTCGGCTGGCATCCAGTACAGGGATGGAAAGCGCGGAGTATGTCCAAATTGGCCAGCAAGAGCAACCGTCGACTGCACTTTTCGAGGTCGCAGCTATCGATCCGGTGACGCCACAAAAGCCACCGACTTGGATGGATCCTATTATTCATTATTTGGAAACTGGGGCCCTGCCCCCAGACCCAAAAGAAGCTCGTGCACTTCAGATCCGAGCAGCTCGGTACACATTGGACAATAGAACTTTGTTTAAAAGGGGATACTCCGCCCCACTTTTAAAATGAGTGAGTGAAACTGAGTCACAGTACATTCTTGAAGAAGTCCACGAAGGGATTTGCGGAAGTCACCCCGGTGCACAAGCATTATCTTACAAAATCTTGCGACAAGGTTATTACTGGCCGACCTTAAAAACCGACGCTGCCACATGGGTTCGCAAATACCCGAAATGCCAAGTGTTCGCGCCTAATGTCCATCAGTCTCCCGAAGAGCTCAAATCGATCTACAGTCCTTGGCCTTTCGCCAAATGGGGGATCGATCTCATAGGTCCTCTACCAACCGGAAAAGGAGGCGTCCGATTTGCCATCGTAGCCGTTGATTATTTCACTAAGTGGGCTGAAGCCGAACCGTTAGTCACGATAACCGAACAGAAAGTCGTTGATTTTATATAGAAATCGCTCATCTGCCGTTTCGGTGTCCCGAACTCCATCATCACTGACAACGGTCGGCAATTTGAAGGCAAGCAACTCGAGTCCTTATGTGAAGAATATAACATCAAACACTTCTTCTCATCGCCTTACCACCCGCAGTCCAACGGTCAAGTTGAAGCTGTAAATAAGCTCATATAAAATGGCCTTAAAGTCCGACTTGACGCTGCCAAAGGAGCTTGGCCGGATGAACTACCGC